TTTACACGGATATCCCTGTATCCGAGATCCCGGATATTCCTGTATCCGAACAAAACCACACACTGTAGGATAGACACGGACGGGAAAGGCCCTCTAAAGGGTACCAATGGAAAGTATTTCCAAAATGAAGTGGGCTCTTCCGAAATCAACATTTATTCTGTTACTTAAATTGTATCATAACATAAACCTCCTATCGATGTAAAATTGGGATAATACTCAATCAGTTTTCTTTTCATACGTATCATGAAATTAATAAAACTGGCCAGATTGTTTTCACTCCCATTCAATAGGAAATCTAAAACACCAGATTGAGTTGCATTCAAGTGATCTGTGACGTCATAAGCTGTAAGTCTGTGACGTCATATATAGTCATGTTACATTCAAGTGTCTCATGTTAAACTTGACCCACATCTATTAAATGAACAATCGTACATCAGGTCTTACACGGACTTAAGACGATGGTTATTTATAAACTATCACAGGGACGTAATACTGCCGTTATAACTAGTACAGCGACACAACCCAACCGTTATGTTCAATATTAATATCTGGACTTACACAGCTTATAAGCGATAAGCTTATACTTTAATTTACATTAAGAGTACCCAGTTCAAATTGTTCTTCTCTGTTACAGAACCGTAATATTATTAATCTGCGTGAACAAATGTAGGCACTGCTTTTTGCGTTTATGACGGATACCGTGGTAACATGGTTCACACTGTTCTGTGACGGATTTTACTAACAAAGTCTACGCGTGTAAGCTTATGTTTTCTGTGACAGTGATGGCTAATAAACCTGATACGGCGGAGGGTGAAATCGAGTCCAGAGCGTTCTCCGTGGCCACTGGAGCGAAACGGAAAATAACACGTTAGGAAAACGTTGATTCCAGCACTGAGTGCGCATGCTCCGACAGCACATTTGTTCAGAAAAAGCGCCAGATGGCAGAACACGGCTACAAAGGAGGGCGCTGTAAATGTAACGCGCTATCTTACACCTTATGGCCCTGTAATAAATGGATGTTTGATTTCATTGGGTACTGCCGTCTTAACGCTGTCGGGAGCGGGACAATCGAGATATGATGACTGGGGGAAATCATTCTGAGGAAAAAGCAAATGTGATTAATGTCTGACGTGTATAGCCGGTGTATTTTTATATAAAACATAATCTCTAACGGAACAATGTAATTAATGGTTTTCCGGTCAATAACTGTGTTGCTAGTCAGTTTTTTTTTATAAAATATAATAATTCTATCCGGACTGCATGCTGTGCGACTGATCAGAGCGCACTTGTAACTAATAATATAACATCATAGTGTTCTAACGTATAGACCCCCCGACATTACCGGGAGTCACACGCAGCTAATGTAACGGTCATTTGATCGATGACAAATGGTAAAATTTTAAGGGGAAAGACATTTTAGTTTCATAATTAGCATGTCTCACCTCCACAGTGTGTTCCGGGTAGTGTTAGTATATGAAGCTTCCTAAAGTCGTGTGACTTATTACAGTATATAAATCTATGAATTAGGGACGGCAAAATATCGAAAGTAAACTTTATAGATGATCATGATGAATACGTTGTTCAAATTAAAACACCACAAAGATACACCAAAGAAGGGGCCTCTGTATTGTCACGTAATCTACAAGTCCGTTGTATAGTTGACAAATACAGCAGGTATCGTTATTGTCTTGTGTCGGTTCCAATCAAAATTGCAAACACATTCATTCTGTCCTTTGAAAAAAGATATTCTACGGTTGTTTTACAATGCTATTGACAAATTAGTTGATAAAAACAATAAATTCATATTTACATTAATGAAATTAAATGAAACGAAAACTCTGACGAAGAGAACATATTGCGAACATTTAAACTTGAACAGCTTCTATTGTAATTCATGTTAATGACGTCAATGTCAAATAAGAAAACGCTCAGAATATGTAAGGCTTCTAAATCAATAACAATACCCGGTCGTACATGTAGTTGAGCATCAAAAGTGATGCCTTTTATATTTTGATGATAGTACTAAGTCTAGAATTAATATTTATTACATAATATTGTTTATAATTGACGCAATGTTAAAAAAAAAGTTGAATGCGATAATTTATGATAGTTAGAAAATCTGATTTAATAATATCTAACATTAACTGTTCATATTGACACAGTTATACAGAACAAGGTTAAATGTGATCATTTATAATTCATAATGCATGATTACATAGAATATAAGTGATAAATATCATTAATAACTAGTAATTGCTGGTACATACACTACATTAAAATAAAACACTACGTCAGAAGCAGAACTCAAAGTCGGCCCAAAAAGTAAGATTAAGATCCGACAGGACGGCAACGCAAAAGGAATGTGATAAGGAAAAACTGAAACAAAATCCTTCGGAAGGTACAGCGTTAATTTCTCAAATCGTATTGAACATTGGTCATCATATCTCCCGTCAAATCCGGGAAATATGTAGGTCATCATTGATATATAACATAACTAACATATTTAATCATGGTAAACAAGAAAACAGCACAGTGGGAGTCATGTCGTGAAAAAAGATTTTTGTAAATTTTCTTTGTTACAGTTTTAAGTTTTGCAGCTAAAAACAAATATCAATAGTTTTTATTGGTCGAAAGAACGCGTATATCCCTCAATGAACATATACTTAGAGCATGTATCGGAGTATCAACTATGGCATGTAAACCCTAGAAGGACAGACTGGTGACTTACTAATTAGGAAAAGGATTCACAAATGTTGTGATATTCTAGATAGAATGAATGAGATGACAGTACATAAAGGAGTATTGTTATTCAAGAAATCCTTACGTAATTGAAATGAAAGGATCGGTCAAACATCTTTTCTCATTTAACTCTGTATAAATACATCTCCGTTAGTGATGGACATTCAGAGAACTACTTTCGTCTCATAATTAAAAATAATGTGGTCATATCATAACCAGATTCAATAACAACGTGGCGACTTTCCTTTAGATATAATTAACTTGTTTTCCTTAGTGGTAATATACCTTACTCCTGCTCATGGCATTATATACAACTCAAAGATGCTGAACTACCCCCAAAGCCTTATATAAGGACTAGTATTTTCTGATTAAAAAAATAAAATTATATGTTCAGAACAATTTTTTGTCGACTTTTGTTGTTCTGTTGAAGTTCATTTCCTTTTGCTTCGGTGCACCCTTATTCTCATGTTGTTGACTTTCGTGTCGGATTTGAGTTACGAATTTGTTCTTGTGACGCTGTTGTGTAGTTTGTCCATGTGTGTTGACAGTGGTAAATTTTAACTTTCGTGTTGACAGTGGTAAATTTTAACTTTCGTGTTGGCACAATGGTAAATTTTAACTTTCGTGTTGACACAATGGTATATTTATACTTGTGTGTTGACACAATGGTATATTTTATACTTGTGTGTTGACACTGTGGTATATTTGGGCATTTTGTGTTGACGCTGTGGTACATGTATATTTTGTCTTCGTGTTTGTCTATTTTAGTTTGAGGTTTGACGTATAGCCGTATGATTAATACAAATTAAGTAACAGCAATCAGAACTGCTCTCGACTTATCGTGCCGTCAACACGCCATACTTTTTATTGACGTTTTTTTATCAGTTTGTGTAAAGGAGACTCAATATTTCCGAATCGGAAACTGTCGTAATACCATTAGGCTGGTGAAAATCGATAGAATGTGATGAGGATGTTTTACGTCGCTAAAACCTTTCATATATCATACCAATTGTTGGCCATTTGTGTAATGCGTCATTGAACAGCCAGATTGTATAGATACCATAGAATTATAACGCTAACTTGCAGCCCACTTGACAGCGTTATCGGGGTAAATGGTTTTCTATGGGAGGTGCCGTCAGTATGGAATACCGGTAAAATCTGTCTCGGACACAGATATACCGTACTAATATAACGTCCACGAACTAAGCGAGGATACCTTAGTGTTTTACTGAGATCTTGTTATGTACACCCGGGGTTTCCCCCCTGATTGACTGTTGTGCTTGTACATATTTAGCAGCTCTAGACTGGAGTTAAGCTGACAGTTGTTTACACTATCGTGTTGTAAATCAGAAAAGGATAGTGATTATTGATTAGTGGGTGATAAAGGATGTGTACACAAAGGGAGAAACACTGTAAATAACGGTTAAGTACCGTACAACAAATAACTCGCTTAATTGAGGCAATAACGGTATGTTGAGGAGGAAACAATTTTACATTATCACCAAAAGATTAAAAACACCACTACATTGGTTACACGTTGGTATAGTTTATGACAAGTATTCAAAATTATATTTTCATATTATGCTTATTGATGAATTTAAAGACATATTCAGTTTTACAAAAGATACATTTGATAAGTCCGAATAAAGATATACAAATGTCTTCAATAAGACTGAGTCACAGCTTGACAAAGGAACCAGTGGGCCGATCTGAAACGTTGCGACACGTTTGATACGTACATTGTTTGTGTAGAAAGCAAAACTTTGATATTGAATATACAAATGTACTATATAACTCTTAGTAAGATTAATTCCCATTCTGTTGAATTAGTTGTTATATTGTTGTATTTTTCCGAGTGTATTCGACTATTAGTTTAATATTCTGTTGCATATACCGTCACAGATCCAGTCTCTCTAACTTCTTTTGTGTAGGTGTTCATATTTCAAATATCATATGTTACTTATCAGTTAGCATCGTTCTATTATATTAATAATATATTTAATGTATTGTGAAATATTGTTGTTAAAGGCCTTCGATTAATATGAAGCAAAAAATGGTGCAATAGGATTACTGTATAGAACTCTGCCAACCCTATTAAATCGGACAACTGAATGACAAAGAAGTTTTGTTTTAAACATATTTTATTGTAATTTATATACAATGGGGAGTTGGGCACAAGTTTTAACAACTTATATGAAGCCCTTTACCTAGGTTTTCACTTCTTATTGTCCTGTGGCTAATTTATTTATTTCTTTTAACAGACAATCATTTGTGAAAATGCCGATCAGACTTACAGACGAGGAGCAGAGTGATTTCAGCCTAGACGATTTCGCCACCGCTAGTAGTGCCGGAACTGACGTAATGATGTTGGACGGAACAGGAAGTGAAATTGACGAGGAGGATATATCTGAATTTGATGAGTTAAGCGACGAATGTGATTCGGAACAAAAGGGCTCAGATGATAGTATGTCGTCAAACAAGGACAAACAGAGTGAAAACAAAGGAGAACAAGAACCCAAAGTACCAAAAAAGCGCGGACCGAAAAAGAAACAGATGACAAAAGCTCGCGTTGTGAAACTTCGAGTTCGCCGTGTCAAAGCGAATACACGCGAGAGAAATCGTATGCACGGTCTTAACGACGCATTGGACGAACTACGTGAGCATGTGCCTTGTTATTCCAAAACTCAGAAACTTTCCAAGATTGAAACCTTACGTCTTGCACGTAATTATATTTTTGCCTTAGCTGAAATTTTGAAATCGGGGATGAAACCCGACAGTGTGTCATTTGCTAAAGCCCTGTCTAAAGGCTTATCGCAGAACACAATGAACCTGGTGGCCGGGGGCCTTCACCTCAACCCCCGCACATTATTGCCAGAGTCCTCCTTCTCTAAACCCTACCAGTTCTACTTCAACAACTCGTACGACCTCTGCTCGACAGGAAACGCCACAGTGCCTTATTCTAGTCCATACCAAATGCAGCAAATAACAAACAGTTACAGTCAGCCCATCAATAGTACCCAAATGCCAGTCCACTCTGTCCCCATATCCCGTCAACCCATCACGTCATGTCAAAACAATATGTCGCCAATCCATGCTTCCGCCCAGCCTCTTTCATATATGACACCAAGAAACAACAGTCCCCTACAGGCACAGACAGCGAACTCCTCCCTCCAGATGGAAGCTATGACATCTTCTAATTTTCTTCGTTGTGACAGTTCTGTGGATTATCAATGCAATGGGTTGGGACCGGCGATGTACGGTAATTCTAATGCAATGTCCGGACCCGTGCCAAGTGTTCCGGATTGTAGCTCATATACTTTGTTGGAGGATCTGGTCGAGTTTCAGGCGGACACACATGTAGAAAATGACCTCGCTATGATGAATTCAACGGCAAACTTGTTCGACGTGACAGGGTAATGTGACGTCACTGTGCATCATACGTATGAAACTGGTGGGTATGACGTCATTATTGTTGCAAGCAACTGGTAAATATGACGTTACCGATAATAACATTCGACATGTTGATATGACACCATAGTGCCCTACTCCGGACAGTTAGTTACCCGGACGTCTATTTCTATATCTGTGTGGCTGACGTCCATCTTACTAGAAACAAATCAGTTGAAAGTAATGTCAGTTCTTTTCTACTGACGATATATTTGTTTATAACAAAAAATGGAAGGCTAGTCATCAGTATTCGTTGATGAAGAATTTGGACACGAACATTGCTGTATCTGTCGTACATGTCTTGATTGAGCTCCTATGGTGAGCTAGCATTGCCCAGGTTCAAAGACACACGAATAGTTGATTAGACAGCGACTTGGCTCACACATTCCCACGTGGTGGTCACCTTGCTCGACCCTTCAGTAATGAGCGCGTGTGTATTTAAATATTGATAGGGTAACGTGAATCACCAAGTCTGCTGTTGGTTGCCAGTCTACGAGACGAGTGTTTTACACGTGCCTTGTGTCACGTGATATTTCTAGTCAGCCCTGCAAACAATAATTTACATGTCATAAACAATTGCTTCCTTTTAATATTCTTAATTGGTTATATTGTTTTCAGAATGAATTAATGTATAAAGTTGATGAAATAGTATTATTTATTAGAAAAAGAATTGAAGTGCTTTATAAAATATGTATTCATATGCAAATAGATGTGTTTATAATTGATTTCATCATGTTTGATATCAAAACCCTTTTCTCGTGAATAATGTCTATTTTACAAAATGAGCATTTCATATCAAAATCCATCCATTTAGAATTTAATTTTCTAAATTACTGCTTTTTCTATACATGAACATTGTGCCTCTTAAGGATAAGTGTTGTCCATATTTTGATACGAAATCCAGTGTATTTATATTTGATTGGTGTATATTTACAGAGAACACAGATATAATACAGATACGTTTAAATTTACATGTCTGTTGTAGTTACAACATTGGTAAGCTTAATCCTACCGTATCGTGTTTTTTCACACTTGTTAGAATCTGTCGTGTCGTGTTTAACATCTGTACTCACCAATTCGTGGTCTTCTCTAATGTATGTTTACCTATCAGTTAGGGTTTTCCCGCCTATTGTTATTTATAAATAATATTTACCGATTAATTTATAAAACATTTGTATCATGAAGTATACTAGTTCACTTATCATTAGATATTTACATGCACAGATATACAACTTGATGTAAACCGTCATCCACATTCGACGGATAATGAGAGAAATAAGGAGATTATTACCAATTTGGTACAATAATGTTTATAATGTTAACATTTAACACTTGAGTAGCACTGACCCTTTTCCAAAGGAAACACGTCTTCGTTGAACCCAGACCGTCTGCCTTATCTAGACAACACCCTGCAGACATCCAGGTACTGGTAACACGAGCTCGTAGCTTTGTACCTGGAATTATTACGATTTACATGGAATGCACTCTTGTTAATTATCATTTACCTGTTATAGATTAAATCTGTAATTTTGTAACGTTTTAAATGATTTTATGGACCTCTTTCCCTAACGCTGTATTCTACATACCTTTCGGAACACCTTTGACATAGATTATTCCTTCTTTTAAGTCTTAAATGGACGAAATAGTCGAACAGTGCAGACAAACGTTTACCTCGTATGGCTTTCTGTTTCTACAAACAACATGTTTTATCAGGTGCTCCTTTCCTCTAAAACGTTTGTGCTATACTAGTTTACACTAAATGTTCGCCATTACTACGGCTACACTACTTAGTGAGTCCTTTGTTTGTGCTACGCACTCCCGAATATTTGTTTTGAAGGTTTCGTTACACCAAATCCCGTTAGTCATTCTTGACTGATAAGCTATTTGTACAGTGGTCTGTTGGCAACATAATAAATTATATATTTAAATATGTAATTTATAATTGAAACATTGAATCGATATTCATATGGATTAATTTGTCCGGGATGTTGATATAATGATTTACTAAAACATCAAACAAATACAGTTAACACTACCGTGACACGTTTTTATGAATGAGTGTTATTCTATACTCGTTGTATGTGCTAAATGTCATGACATTTAATAAACGTTATCTTTGTTATCATTTTGTATCACTAACAGGAATCCGAGCAGCAGTTTGATTAGGAACATAACGCGGCTGTCTCGCAATTATATCAATTCTCCTTTTGAAATACAAAATATTATCAAGGATGTTTTAAAGTTACATCATGTTTCAAGTCACATCCGGTCACTTATATTAAATTATGCAATATTTCTATGCTCCTTTAATGAGTATCATATCTATTTTACCTGTCTAATAATTTACTCGTGCAATGAACTAAGGACTAATGAAATAGCGGTTATATTGTAAGAATGCTAGGTGTTACTTAGTATACGATTCACACGTGCCTACCTATAGGTGTTTACTGGACATCAGTCATTTATTCTTGTACTACTGTAAGCCATTCTAGTCATATATTTTGATAAGACAAAACGTCGAAATACAGATCTTTGTACATCTATAAAATGTTATAAATGGTTTGAATAAATTGATTGTCTAATAACATGTTGTCTTTCTTTTTTTCCTGGTGCCATATTTGCGAATAATGACAATGTTGCTGGATGCAATGTTCATTCGCTTACAGTTGTAATTCTAAAAAATGTGTATGTAAAATACAGGTATATCATAATATTTATGTCGATTTCATAGGGTCATAGACTCATAGTTCTTAATGATAAATGAACTACAAGTTAATACATGATTATATGATCTACACATATGTCTAGTAATATGTCACTAAACATGGTTACATATGTATTATAATTTCTTGTACATCTGTGTTGCCTCCTGAGGACTGCAATTCGTTGAAAAATAATTTTGTTCCTGATTATTCCTCTCATACACTAATAGGCGTCCATACACCACACTCACTTTCATACACTATCAACTTATAATTTAGTTGACGTCATGTTATTTTTATTTTTTTTCGTGTTATTCATTCCAATTTGTTATCGATTATATGATATAAGGCCTACTCATCCTTTACACCTTCCCTTCGCTGATTTAAACTCAGGCTTCCGGCTATTTTATGTCAAATATACCACTAGTTGGCTTCGATCTGGTGAAAAAACACAAACATCCTGCTGTAATACACTGATGTAACAAATTAACTGTAAACATAAAAGAAAGGTATGTAAAATGAATGTAAAATAATTAACAATAACTAATTCTTCAAATTAATGTATTTTATAACTTTTATTAAACACATATTGTCAGATTTGCATATTAATTCATTCATTAATTCATTCATGAAAATCAAATTAATAAAGAGTCTTTTCAATATTTGCGTTACAGTTGTTATAGTAACAGTTTGTTCTAAATATTACAAATTCCCTAACTACTAGATCAGCTGTTATCCTAAATGTTTTTTGTGTGACTAAAGTAACCTTTCCTTTACCCAGTAACGTACCAGCTTTTCTGAGTACATTTATGAGTGCCTGGTCTAAGTACAATGCTTTTACACGTTATATAATTGCTACTACAGAGCCTGTTATGGATATTAAAGGATTGCATGTGACAGATAATACCTTTTACCTCAGATTCTGTTTTAATGACGATGATGTTTTGGAAAGTTTTACAATTTGTATACAGTAGACCTAAATACTATTTCGCGGAAGTATTCGTCCGGAGAGGATTAATTCTGCACAATATTTCGTGGTAGTTAGGGTGACATTGATAACTAGGGCTGAAGACCTATATTATTGCTGACCACAACAATATCCCAAGGCTTGATATATATCACGATATTGGATGACAGAACTGCTGCCTCTTCTCTGAAATACATTTATTAGATTTTCCCCCTTAACTTGAAAGTTGGAAGAACAGTTTGATACACTTTTGACAGATAAGCAAAAAAGACCGGATCATCCAAAGACCCCGTACACAGCTATGGAATAACACAACTAATCAGTTACTGTAATTCATTACGAAGATTTTGAGTTAATAGCTTTAACATTTTAAGTTCAAAACTAGTGACACCTGTCTAGATTTGACAACCGGTATTAACAAGCGAAACTAGTTAAGCGAGGCGGGAACACCCCCTGACGTTGGACCCCATATAAATCCGCCATCACATATTAAAATCTATTAAAACTATACATTTTCACAAAGTTAAAAGTCTGTATATTTCATTCAATGACATAAATGTCAACAATTACCAATTAAAATTACTCAGAGGCAATGTATTTAACCAGAAAACTTTAAGGTTTGGAATAAAAAGCTGGTAATTTATAGACAGAAAAATTATGAAGTGTCGAGAAATAAACATTTATTATGTAGATACATATGTTTCAATTTTGCAACACCAGGCTATGTTAAAGTGAGTAATTGTATCTGTTTATATAGCAATACAAACACATCCTGTAAACATGTCTTCATACATGATAACTATTATTGATTTAATTACTAGCTAATGCAGTAGGTTTCTAAGATGCAGTATTACTGAGGGGTGACTTCCTCCACAACAAATGATTATGTAGATTTTAATTATACTCCGCCCCGTTTTATCATATTTGTCAGCACTCATGTGATAGTTGTATGGGTAAGCTAGTAGCAGCGTCGAGGTTTTGGAGACATATTTAATTCAATATATACATATATATATTTAACATAATCAAAACATTAAAAAAAAAATAATCGTTTCGTATATTCGAGTTATAAAGCTTTACTAAAACATGAAACCCAATACATTCAATACTATCATGGATTGTTTTCCTGAATGAGTATTATTTTATACTCGCCGCATTGGCTAAATGTCACGATATTTGTGCATCTAAGCGAACTCAGGTCAGCAATTTGATAAGAAGAATTCATTTGCAATCGTTTCAATTTACAATGACGTTACGCGCGATGTTGGTGACACCTTGTGTAACGTAAAATGATGTCGTTATTATCATATATGACGTTGCTTTTTAGATGTTGTATCATAGTTTGCATTATTTTGTGTGACTCCCTTGTACGTGACCGTGCAAAAAAAGAAAAATGATCAACATGAGCCTCATTAACCTTTTCATAATTGTTATGAAATAAATAAAGTTTAAAAGTTGGCCGGGAATAGAAGGAAAAGATAGATGTGGGGTTGTGGACAAGCTTATATTCTCAAAACCGTTTCCTTTGTTTCAGAACGAGTCGGTTTTCCCATGTTTAGATTTTTGTTGTACATACAAATATACGTCAACAGAGAATAAGTATCACCGTCAGATATATGCTGTTTTGACTATACTTCTACAATTCTATTTATAAGTATTTACTTTATCCACATAGTGTTTCGAAAATTATAATGATGCATGAAATTTAACTCCAAACAATCAAATAACCTCACGATTTCTACTGATGTTTGTCATTCTAAATGTTGCGCAACGTTATTCCCGTTAAGTCACATAAGGGGGACATTTTACTGAAACTGAAATGTGTAGTGCGATATTTTTGTTATTGATCCCATAACAAAAGTGAAAACTGTTTCATTCTATTCGGTCATGACACATTCTAATCAGGACAAAATGATTTTATTTCATTTTTCGCAATAAGCTATTATACGTCATCAAATTTCAATATATGCAAAATGTACGTCAAAAACAACTACTGGACAA